AATCTGACTCAGAACCGCTTCCTGATTCAGACAAAATCATCCAGAACAGTGACTAGGCCGATTGGGCCGAAGTGGGTGGGCTGGGCACGAGGCTGTAGGCCTTGGTCCACGCCATTTCATATTTGAATTTCAAGGACCTGCGGCCCCCACGAAGTCGTTTCGGACTTTCCGCCCCAGCCCCAGCGCCCTTTCCTTTTTGAAACTCGCAGCTCAAGGACCGCGGCCTGCGCCAACCCTGCGCGGTCCCACGAGCAACTATCGGTCCACTATTTCCAAAGAAACTGCCGCTGTAGTTTTTGGAGCCTTCCAACGACCAACCAGCGGAAATGAACGACCGGTATAACGAAGGACGATGAAAAACGTCTTCCACGGGGGAAAACGCAACCCTGATGGGCTGCGAACTACCGGTATAGGGCCTTGTTCCACTGCCCTCGACTTGAAAAAATCTCAAGGGCAGCGTCATTCCACTAGGCCCTTGAGATGTGCTAATCACTATTGGAAAGTGATTAAGCTCCCCGCCTCAACAAAATCCCGCTCTGAAACTTGAGGGCGGCCGTAGGGTGCCCAGGCAACTTCGACCAATTTTCAAGTCACCTCACAGAGGTGATTTCAGTTTTCTTGGAAAAGGCGCTAACATGCACCGCCGGGCAGCAGTCCAGCCCCCCCGTCCGGTCCTTTTTTTTTTTTTTTTTTGCCAATCGGGGTTGTCCTTGCCCAGCGATGGACCTGGGTTGTGAAAATTCCCTAAAGAACAGGGGCGCACATTTTCCCGCTCTGTTTCGAGCGGGAACTGGCTTCGTTTGCGAGCGGGAACTGCAAGGTGTAGTGAAACGACGACGACCTCTAGTATTTTTTAATTACGTTTTGACTCAATGGCGCCCGTAGGGCTGCCCTTGATATTTTTTTCAAGTTCACAGCCCGTCAGGGTTGCGTTTTATGCCCCTGAGAAATTTTGTCGTCGTCACCAAACGGTGAGGTAGTTGGAAGGGTGGTGTATTTACTGGGGGTCCAATTCGTGGGAAATAAACAGTTTTCGTTGTTGGAGGACCGGTAGCTGCCCACAGGAGGTCGGGAGGCCGGATCCTGAAAAGTTTTCGCTGTTGGAGGACCGGTAGCTGCCCGCAGGAGGTCGGGGAGACCGGGTCCTGAAAATTGGCATTCCGCTGAGTTAGGGCAGGTTTTTAGGGGGGCGCCGACTGGAAGGCGCAGGCGGGTTCAAGCTTGCAATTTTTGAGCGCCAACTTTCGCGATTTTTCGTACGCAGCATAATTGGAGAAAAGATCTGAAAATTTAAGATCGGGTAGGCCAGGTCGTGATCTTTCCAAGAAAAATATCCACAAAATAAAATAAAATTGTTTAGACCATGGAATAAATGTCGCGCCAATTCGTCACTTTTTTCATTTTTGGCACACGACAACTTGTGGGCCAACGGGCAAAGTACCCCTATTTCAAAGATTTTTCACGCTCAGAAGAACTCGTAAACAAGTCTGAATGTTTTTTTTTTTTTTTTTTTTTAAAGACTATACTCTTCTCTAATTTTTTCCTCACACTACCTACCTACCACTACTCGTACTTATAGGCATACGGGGAAACCCGTAGCATACCAGAGCCGTGTTTTTACGGCCCCTCGAGCCTGCAGGATACCGACCAGGGGACGACCGGTAGCACCAGGGATAAAGCGAACCAATCCCCCGTGCCTCCCCTCAGGCCCCTCCCCTACAAACATAGCAGACTCTGCTTGATGCCGATCGGGGGATCCGTAGATTTGGTCATGATCTTTTCAGGAAAAATGTTTATTTTTTTAAAAAAAATTGTCTCAACCGCGAAATAGCTTATAGCGCAAATTCATCCCATTTTCCATATTCACCACTCTGCCGGTTCTCCACTCTGTGCTACTGGTAGCCCTCATGGACATGTTCGCAGCCCGTCAGAGTTGCGTTTTATGCCCCTGAGACATTTTTCGTCGTCGTTCGTTATACCGGTTGTTCATTCGGGCCCATTGGTCGTTGAAAGGCTGGTAAAATGAAATGCACGAGCATTTAAGGGGGGGCGGCAGTTCAAGCAAATGCAGGACCGGTATTTGCCTGTGGCATTTTCCAGTTGGAAACGGTAGGTGGTCGTGGCCCAAAATATTTTGAAACAGCGTGGGGGCCGCAAGTCTTTGAAATTCAGATATGAAACGACGTGGACCCAGGCAACAGCCTCATGCCCAGCCCACCTACTTTGGCCCAATCGGCCTAGTGATTGACTTACCGTGAGGGCACGGGTGCGCAACCCGTAGTTTGTTTCGTTTTGGCTGTGGCGAGGCCCTGTGTGT